TTCCTAGTGTTAGTGATAGAGATGATGATAGTTGATAAACTGATTCAGTTGCGCTCGTATGAGTTGAGCAGATTGCTTCTGCTGGTGACTGTTTTTTCTGCCATATTATATTAATAAAAGTTGCGGTTTACCCCCAAAAAGGAGAGATGGAATTGAAATGATACGGGAATAATTGAACACTCATTACAAAACTAATAAAGAGGACTCTTCATCTCCACCTCATAATTCCACTCAAAAAGTTTATATCATCAAAAAAAGGAGAGTACTTCCATAATCTACCTAATGTGTATAGTGTGTGTGTGTGCAACCAAAAGAAGACAATTAGACAAAGGTAGTTGCTAGCATCATATCACTTGGATTGATTGACTGATTAGGGAATTTGAGTGGCTAAATGGCTTCAATTAGTGGAGGAAATATGAGGCGTTTATTTATGTTATGGTGTTGAAATTGCTATTTATCCAGATATTCAATTACAAACTGCAAATTGTTGGAATAAAAAATCCCATATCTTCCTTATGCTGCCTTCTAAACATTCAAAAAGGATCTTGACTCTGCTAAAAACTGGCTGTGTTTCTTCCACGGTTTCAATTTTTTTGTTCATACTACTCTGTATATATATTTTTTAAAAATTGACTAACCATTTATTGATCAAATTCGTACCAAACTGGTAGGAAAACAGGTCAAACCGTGAGAAAGTGCTTCATGTGGCATGAAATTGCATCAGGTGCATTCTTTAGGGTATGAATTCTTTAATCCCAAAAATTAAAAAAAATGAGGAATTATTTATTTATTTATTTTTTTTATTAACATCAAAATAAATAAACAAATGGAGGGGACCAAACCAAAACCTCTAATACATTAAAAAAAATCCATATACAAGTAGTACTTACTCCCTTGCAGAAATTGATCTAAAGTTTAAAAATCCATGAGCACAAGTTTGTTTGGATAGTGGGTTATTTTCTCAAATATATTTATTTACATCATCATTATAATTTTCAATACAGTTTTTTATTTTCTCAATTATCTTTTTATCTCACATACATCACATCATAAAAAATATTTCAGTAAAAATATTTTAAATAATTTATAATGCAAACAATTTTTAGCCAGTGACATAAAAAACTGCTGAGAAGCCATGCCCAAAAAAGTCAGCTAGTCAGTTGCAACATTTGCCTTCCTAAACACGTGCACTGTCACAGTTGACATGACATGTAAGACATATTGCAGAATCAAACATAAAGGCTACGTAGTTGAAAAGCATCGCTCAAAGATTCGGCCGAATCCTAGACTACTCAGTCCAGTTGTCGTTGGAGAGATGATCTCGAAATAACTGATCATCAAAAACTCGACCGAATCATAAAAAATTTGGCCGAGACAGCTTCGAGACCAATAATAACGATCGAATCATCTCTAGTCAACTCGAATTTTTATTATTTTTTATTATTATATTTTTTATATTACCGGAACGGAACTCTTCGAAACGATATCGGGACGAGATGATTTCGAAATAATGGATCATCAAGAACTCGGCCGAATCACCAAAAAACTTGACCGAGACAGCTCCGAGACGGATAGAAACGATTGAATCATCTCGAGTCAACTCGAATTATTATTAATTTTTTTTTTAATTTTTATTTATTATATTTATTATATTATTTATAATTTTTAAAATATTAAATGTTTTAAAATTTGCGTATTGACAAAACTGCGATCAATATGTCGAGATCGATGTGGAACAGCTCAAAATACGACCGCGACTTTGAACCATACAAAAAAGATGAATTGCTGAGATGGACCAAAGTTTGTGAATCCACCTCAACTGATTAAATGGAGAAGTCTCGAACAGAGCATTGAATCAAGCCAAACAATGGGGCCTTTGCTTTTGCTGATAACATATCTATGTCCCCTGAATTTTTTGTAGAATGCAAAAATAAACTCTTAATACAGTCCCCGCACTAAACCAGCACCCGTTGTCATTCTATCTTTGACACTTGCATCCGTGTTCAATTTGAACCCATTGGATGGCGGAATCCAACGAACAGGAAGAACCTGTGTAGGAGCGACAGAACGAACTGTAAACCAGCATGCTATTGCTGAATTTTGATCACCTTTTAACTGAACAGCACTGATGGTAGAAGCCAACCCCAATAAACATAGGATGCGATCAATTTTGAAGGTGATCTTATCCGGAGAAAAGGCAATAATAGCAATACAAAACAAAAACAGTTAAAAGCGACAGTCATTTTCAACTTTTTAAGCACAGACAGCACAGAAATTTTGTTGAGTAAGGAGAAGTTGCACTCAATGAGGCCAAAGAGGGGACTGCAACTGGGAGATCCTCTTTTTCCATATCTTGTCATACTGTGAAAGGAAAAACCGAGTCAGTTGATAACTGAGACAAGGAGTTATCGGAGAATCAAAGAGAACAAAAAGAGCAGGACCCCAAAAAAAAAAAAAGAAAATTATTTATGCAATGTTTCTGAATTCGAGGCAAAAGGTACAAACTGAGTAATAGAGAGAACGTTTTGCTTGCAAATGTTAATGGGCTCTCTGTTTTTCTCCTTTTTTTGTTTTTTCATTTTTTTTGTGCGTGTCTTGAATGTAAAGAAGTAGGAATGGAAGTAATCAGAATCGACCTAAAAATAAAAAGATATTCACATTTCAAGAACATAATAATATCTCTTAATTTTGTACCAAAAGTCCAAAACCAATTGCATAATGGTCGATGCTGTTTATTTTGACTGTTTGTATGTGTTTATGTGTTTGAGGGAGTTTCTCTCCAGTTGGGGGTGAAAATGGCGTTCTGTTAATTTTTTTTTCCCCATCTTTTTGCCCGCTTAGAAACATTCTTTCTTCTGCGGCTTTCGATTTACCAAATGGCAAAGAGATCATTTTTCAATTCATCTGCAGTTCCAATTCATTTGCAGTAGCTGATTAGCAATGTGTTGAGTCAACAGAAATGAGAAAGAACGTCAACCAAACAGAAATAGAAGTTTTGTTTACGAGTTTCTTGAAAAATGCTCCAAGCCTCGAAGTATCCATGAAAGATATAGAAATGCATACACCAACAGATTCTGCCCTTTTTTTTTCCTTGTACAATTAAATTTTGATACATTAATATGGCCAACCAATTGTTAAATGAACAGCTTCTACAGATTGTTTTGTCTATGTGCTAGTTTAATTCGATTAACAGTGTTTCAAAGTATCATTTGCATGGTGCGAGTACTAGTGCTTGTATTCTATTGAAGAATATTTTTTCTACAATTCAATCATTTGAGATATTTTGCCTCCTTTTTTTTTCGGATAAAGAAGTTATTTTTATTATTTAATATACTGAAAATCATTCAGTACAATTTGCTTGACAAATGTGACAGGGAAGTTAAAAGTTTGAGTGAATGGCCCAAAAGGTCACTAAACTATTAAAAATGGCACCTTCTAGTCACCAAACTTTTTTTGTGATCGAAAAGGTCACTAAACTCGCAAAAACTCTCCAGCGGAGTCATTTTACCGAATTTCAACGGTTCCTCATCCGGTGGCATGGGCAATGTGGAGCGGAGGAATATAGTAAAGGGGCAAAAATGGCCGAAAGGTACTATCCTGAGAATTGCAAAACCCAAAAAAGCACATTGAACGAATTCAAAAGTTTTGGAATTGAGAGGCTTGGGATAGAATCATAGAAGAGATCAACAGTGAAAGATTGCATAGCCAAACCGAAACTTTCTTGACTGGCCTAATATTTGTTAAAGGAACATCTATATCATCCAACTGAAGCTGCTCATTGATATTGAACAATACTTCAACAATGGCCTCTGCAAATGGTATGCTATTGATTACTGTTTCTTGGGCTCTCCGCACTTTTGCAGTTGCAACTAGCTTCATTGCTTCTGTCACTTTTTGGGTGTTTTTTACTGTTTCCATCCGCTCCCTGAGCTCACGGTGGCCATTTGAAAAAGGGGCACTCTCGAAATATGATAAACATCAAACCTTTTTGTATCTGTAATTGTTTGATAATTTGATATGCGATGGGGGTTGAGCTGAGATGAGGAAGAAATTGAAGAGGGGTCACAAATTGAAGGTTTTAAGGAGACCGTTGTCGATATATTGGAGCAAGACATCATAGTTTGCACATTACAGGTTTCAAACAACAAGATGCAGCAAAAGAAATCGAGGGTTTAAGGTTAGAAAGATCGAGCTTTTGGCGATTCTGGAGAAAGGGTTTTTGGAATTTGAAGTTGGATTTCGACCTGTTTTGCTTGGGAGAGGGAATGGTAAAAGAAGATCCAAATAATGAAATAGTTGAACGCCCGCAGGAGATGAAATTCCGGCCGGCGGCTATCAAATTGGTTTTAGATCTTCTTTTAACAGTTCAGGTGAAACCGTCTAGATTCTCAGGATAGTACCTTCTAGATTCAACTCATCCCTGGTCGCTTTACCCAGTCCATTGAAATCACCAGCTTCACAATTTCCTCGGCTGCTCTTATTTTTGAGATGGGTTTAGGCTGTAAATACTCGTTATTTGCTGTTTTGATTTGGTTTACAGGCGGACAAAGTCACTATTTTTTACCGCAGAGAAGACTATTTCAATCTATGGGTTCAAACTTGGTTTGTGAATGAGACAATCCATGGCTTCACCTATTCCAATAACCTTTCAGACATTTTTGCCCCTTGACTATATTTCTCCAATCCACATTGCCCATTCCACCGGACGAGGAACCGCTGAAATTCGGTAAAATAACTCTGATGGAGAGTTTTTGCGAGTTTAGTCACCTTTTTGGCCACAAAAAAGGTTTGATGATCAGATGATGCCATTTTTAATATTTTAGTGACCTTTTGGACCATTCACTCTAAAAGTTTCAAAGAGATTCAACAGAGTCTGAGATTTTGGCGTAATGCCACTATACTTCTTCGCTTCCCAAGGCATTGTCTTATTGTATATTATTATTTTCCCAAGGCATTGCCTTATTGTTAAGGCCTTCTGTCAAGAAACCAAGACTGCCATTTCTGCTATTGCCCTCGTGCCCTGGGATCACTCTCTCCGATGATATCTTTCTTTTCCCATAAATTTCTGCCCTAATTTAACCTATATGCTTAGGGACCAATATGTGCCCATTTCTCCACATGCAAACTTGCCCTGATCGCCTGCGTTTGAATCAACAGAAAAGCTAATGAAATTGTTCATTTCTACTATTAGGATTTTAGGGGAAAAGAATTACACAAAAATATAGCAGCATTTGTACCTCTTTCTCCCAGTTGCATCTAATGGTAATGATGGCCAATATGAATGTTTGAACTGCAGTTCCACCAAAAATCATTCCAGCCCAGATTCCCTTCATATATCAGTGTGGCAAAAACTAGTTATTCGCCTAAAACGAATCCAATCAAATCAATTTCAAAGAAAAAACAAAGAAATGTTATAAATTATGATTTAAAAAAATGGATATCTGAAATTAGATTTTAGGTAGTAAGGTTTTAAGCTAAATTACACTGAGTGAGCATAAGTAATTCTTTCTAATTTCCTTTTATCTCACCATCTCTCTGATGGACACGTGCATTAGTACACAATGAATCCCTTTCTTATTTTTCTTTACTAAAATAGATAGAAAACGATAATATTGTTACGAATAAACCTTATATACGCTGAACTGTTAGTATAACAATATTATACTGCAAAAGGAAAAGAACTTTGGGAAATTAAGTAGCACAATTTCTTTAAAGAAAGGTATGCAAATTGGAGACTAACCATTACTCCTTGCTTGAAAACCCAACCCATCAATACTCCAAGTGGTACTCCAATCAGATAATAGCAGCCCAAATTTATGCATGCCACATATGACTGCCATCCAGATCCAACAGCAACCCCTGCATGTTAAAAGAAAAATAAAAATGAAGAGAGTGATGAAATGTTGCAATTAATTAGTGCTAATTAATTACCTGAAAGAATTGGTTGAACACTATTGAGGAGAACAGTGAAGGCCAAAAGTATTGAGAGTGTGCTGACTTCTTCCAGCACTGGTTTGCTGGTTGTGAATACAAGTGCAATTTCATTGTGGAAAAACACCCAAAAGAATAGGCCTAGCAATTTTGATTCTGTCACTGCTACTATGGTTGCTAACTGGGCTTTTCTTCCATTTCCTGCTCCCAACTCATTTGCAACCCTAACTCTGTAACACCCTTTGAAAAAACAATTTGTCACTTTTAATTGGCAGACACTATTATGATTGACAGAAATTCAATTCAGGTGAATCCAAAAAAACCCCCAAAAAAAAGTAACAGAATTTACCCTATTCCAAAGAAGAATCCAATAGGAATCATATTTTCCCAGCCGTTGATGCTCATGCTAAGGAATCCAACAACCAAACTGATGAAAAAAACTGAGCGTGGTGAATAGTAAAAGTAAGATTGAGGTAGAAGCTTAGCACAACTTGCTTACCATATGGATAAAGCATCAAAAGCAAATTCTGAATTGGCAAGATTTCCAGTAATCACTACCAGGATCTGGTAGTACCAGTTCTCCAAGCTGTTCCAAGAAAATTGGAGTCAACGGAGTAATTACTTAACAAGCAAAACGTTGTCCTGTTTACTTCCTTTCACAAATTTGGGCTCATATCAAATGGGAACAGAATCGGGCAACAACTGTCCTAGTTATGCGTCATTTGATCGTGACAAACATTTGTTCAAGAAAAAGTCATGCATTTTTGTTTCAAAAATGAAACATAAATAGAAAATACTAAAATGTAGATCGTCAGGAACGTTCCCAAACCCAAAGAAACAAGAAAAATTAGAGAAATAAAGTTCTTACCATATCATGACACCAGAAGATACAGATAGTTGAAGAAATTGCCTTAGACCAGAAAATGCTTCAAATGAGAATCCAGTCCACGACTGAGGACATGCAGCACATAGTGTATAACCAAGCAAACCAAACACCACAATCCACCAAGAAAAGCCCAAGACAAGGGAAACGGCGGCCAATCCAAGCCTTAGCTTAAACACCACCAACCAACTCAATGCCAAATGCAAAATCAGAGCCACGAAATTCACCCAAGCGATCACATTATTCTTCAGCTGACTCTGCAGAAACCTCTGAAGGGGAAATTGAAATGCAAAGCCGAAATGAAGTGGAATGAAACTCAAGCATACAATCCCAGAAAGCTCAGCTACTTGTTGGGGCTGCCCCAAAAGCTTCAAGATTGGCGTAGCGAAAATGTATACGGGCAACATTAGAACGGAGCACAAGAAGAGAACAATCCAAGAACGCTGCAGGTATACGCCTAAAATAGGATAGTTCTTTGCCCCGAATGCTTGTCCGCATAGAGTTTCCAAAGCACTTGCCATTCCCAACTGAAAATCCATAATTACATGGACGAATTCAAAATTTCAGGGATACAAAAGATAATCCTCATAGAGTTCAAGAATTTGTCTATATTTAACACTTATTAAGGTACATGTGACATGCTAAACTGGCTCAATTTTTGTCAGACAGGCGTGTATCAAGAACCCTTATGAAACAACATTTCCATAAAATTTTGTGTTCTAGTTAATTGCACCTTGTATTTATTACAATTATGATGTCAAATTATCCTAAAAGAGAGAAATTTAGTGGAGGGAAGCAGTTTTTATGTACCATGAAGCTGAAGTTAAATCCAAGAATGACATTACTGGCAAGAGACATAGCAGCCAGCTCAAGTTCACCTAGGTGGCCTGCAGATGCTTGGGTGATGACGACTGACGAGCATGGAGTATGAAGCAAGAAGACTGAAGACTGCAGGGCCAACTATTCGCCAAAGCTTCTTTGTTTCATGCCAAACTTTATCTGGAAAGTTTTCATCTCCACCATTTTCTTGACTCTTTGACTTAATAAGGGAGCATGAATTTTCTAACAATGGTGTTGTTGTATCCTCCATTACTATGACTAAGTACTTCTACAGCAATATGAATAAGCTGGAGACAAGATAGCACTTGTGCGGCGATAATATGGTAAGAGTACTTCATTACCTTCTGCCACTGGCCATTTGGTCCGGTGGTCATCACCATTAAAGGTGATGCTGGAGGTCAGGGGTTCAATCCCTGCCTGCCACAATTTGTGGCGGTCTTAATTGACCTTTATCGATGGAGTTTGTACTCATATCGAACCCCCTCCCCTTCCCCTTAGACTAGACTAGATTAGGTTATAGGACATCTATCGTTTCGACAAAAAAAAAAAGTACTTCATTACCTTCTGATTCGATAGGCTTATACACACATAAATCTATCAAGACTAAAATGGAAAAAAAATTAAAAATTTCTTGATATTGGATGCTTGCACTTTGCCTCGTCTCTTTGAGTCAATTGATTCCAGTCATATCATTTGAGTTAGCAAAAAGGTCAGTGCCATCCACCACATCCATATATCTTTCTTTAGGAGTCAAGGAGCTTGCGGTCCACTTGTAACAAATTGTAGGCCATGATTTTGTTGATCAGCACGTACTCGAAGTTTGATCATATTTCTTTGATGTATGATATTGATTTAATGTTTAGTGCGGAGAATTGGTATTTGCCATATTAGACAGTTGAATAATTAAGACTTTTTTTCCTGTTTTTCTCTTTATTTATTTAGATTTTTAGATGCCATGTGAGGTTAAGAATCATAAAATATTTGTAGTACATCACTAGAATGCCATAAGAGCTTATTAGGTGATCATGAAACTTGCTGGATTTTTTTAAGTGGCAAGTTTTGATTCAGGTATCTTATTTATAATTTCTCTCAACTTATCACAAAATTCAACCCTCCCCAACTTGCTCGACATAAATTTGGGCAAGTTAATTCTTTTCATTATCACATAATGAAAAACCGTGGTACAAAATCAATTATGGGATAGAATAATAAATGATAAAATCAGGTCAGAGTGGACGATTTAATTTAGAGACCACCTTCGAAAGTCCAATTTTGTCAATCTCTTAGCCTTGAATCAGCTACACGAGGGTTTCTTTGTCCCCGAGCATCGATCAAGCATCAAATCTCTGCCAAGCACAATTCTTATTTTTGTCGACTTGATTGACTGGTCATCATCCACTGTTCTCTCCATTATACATTATTATTATTATTATTATTATTATTATTATTATTATATTATTATTATTATTATTATTATTATTATTATTATTATTATTATTATTATTATTATATTATTATTATTATTATTATTATTATTATTATTATTATTATTATTATTATTATTATTATTATTATTATTATTATTATTATTATTATTATTATTATTATTATTATTATTATTATTATTATTATTATTATTATTGTAATATCCACCTCTTCAACATGACAAAGACATGCTTTATTCGATATTTCTCTTGAATGTTGATTAATAATTAAAGTATTCTGATACGCATTTCTCTGCTATAGATCATTTTTATTGATTTCTTTGCTTTGTATTTTATAGACAAAACAAAAGATTGGTTAAATTATGTCTTTGAATTGGTAGTTTTTGCAGTTTTGGTTGGAGTTGCTAGTTGTATGACCTTTGTAAGCTCTTTCCTGCTTATCAATAAAAGTTACAGTCAAAATTAAAAAAAAAAAAAAACAATAGAAGTTTTTGTTGGAAGTCTTTGATAGTGCCCAAACACTACCTTCATGAGTTTTGCCGCAATCAAATTAACTAAGCCCCATGTCCATTTCGTCCGCCCAAAAGATTTGGAGTCACTAGTCAGTATTACAAACATCCAAAATGGACAAACATCAGCCAACCCAAAGAGAAGCTCAGAGTCGCACAAGTGCCTCAAGCCCCTTACCATCCAATACTTCAAAAGCTATCCATAACACACCTAACTCAGCAGTAGAAAAATTAATAATTTATTTTCTATAAACTAACATTGTACATAGTATTATTGTTAAATGCACGATAACTGATTTAAATTTAGGTTAAAATCTAAATTTTGTATATATGTATGTCATACATTTAACTATGATAATGTATATATACCGTCAATGTAAATAAAATTAATCGTAAGATTTTCTAACTTGTTGCTAAAACCCTTATCTTTTCCTTTTCCATTTGTAAAGGTTGGAATTTCCTTTCAAAAAAAAAAAGGTACAATACTTCAAGAATTAAACGTTATTTCAATGAAATAATACAATTTATTTCCTCTTTTCTTTTTCTATGCTATCATTGTCCATCTGCACTTTTTTTTTTTTTTTGTCAAACTTCAACTGCATTATATATTGTCCATCTGCACTTGGTTTGCCTCTTTCATTTAAAGGAATATAATCAAAACGTTATTCACTCATCAGATAAATTAATGGCAATGCATCTAACTGAACTTATCATATCCTGAAATTCTATGCTAGACAACTCGCATTTGAAAAGGTGCTAATGACAAACTAGATCCAGTGTCTTACCTTCAATTTGATGACCTAAATGAAGATAGTAAGAAACACGGCACATATGCTGTGAAGGTTGTACATGATATTGAATGGGAAAATGATTTCCCAATATGGCTGACTGAATTAGCTAGGACAAGAGATGAGGGTAGTATCCCCTTTTTGTAACTAATCCTTGTAAGGTCAAGTGTTAATATCTATAACATGATATCGTTTGTTGGAAAAAAAAAAAAAGAAACACGGCACATAAGACTCCACACCAAGAGCAAAGAAAAAGAAAAAGAAAAAGAAAGAAAGCAAGATAGAGTCAAAGAATTTTAATGAAAGAACACTATCAAGAAGTTGATCAATTTGCATTTAAGGAAGTTTTTTTTTTTGTTAGGCAAGGATAGTTTTTTTTTTATAATAATCTTTTGTGATCAAGAGATTGAATTCAAAATTTCTTATTTATCATTTCTTTCATTTTACTATTCAACCCGACCCTCTTCAGAAAGGGGGTGGGGTGGGGTGGTTTGAAAGTTTGATTTCTATGAGAGGTTTTTCAACCACCATATTTTGGAGTGTCGAGCCAGTAGGCCAGATATCGTTCTAGAATGCAATCAATTACTATCCCTCAAAAGAGAATTCTTTTTGCTAGGTTACTGAATTCAAGGCAAGAGAAATGCTTGCTGAAATTAAATGTTCCTCGGTAAAGAGTGTAGGAAGTAGGGATGCAATCACTAATTACAGTCGTCCTCCATGAGTAAAAAGATTTCTTTTCACTGTTTTAAGAAACATTTATATCAAAACAAGAAGCATTAAAATATCTTTAATTTTGGACCAAAAACCAATCGCACATGTGATGCTATTGGAAAAAAAATATTTTTTTTGTGTGTTTGTGTATATATGTGTGTGTGAGAGAGAGAGAGAGCCTTTGTGGGGAAGAAAGGGTTTTTTTTTTTTTTAATCTTTTGGGCAGCTGGTAAATGTTATCATATCACCCTTACATGTTAATTTTAATCCAAGGCAAGTGTCATTATAAAGAGATCATTTTTCGCTTGAAATAGAAAAGGGACAAGAGAGAAAATTCATACACAATGCCTTCACAAGATCAGTCAGCTGACTAGCGCTTGATTTGATCTTTTTGACCCATTAATCGCAATTTAAAAAAAAAAAAAACTGAACTATAAATTCCATTGAAAGATGGAAAAAACATTGAATATGCTCAGAGCAATTTTTTTTTTAATACCCTACCACACCCAATTGTCACAGCGAAAAAGACCCTAAGAGTTTTCACCTGATCTGACCACTGAACTGACCTAGTGATTTACACTTGAAAGATTATAGTTTGTCTAAACGTGGTGAAAATGTAACTACCAAAAGATTGTAAAGACTTAAATTTTGATAAAGATTATATCACAACCATCCAAAAAAAAAATCACAAAAACTAATATTAGTTGGTTTTTGTCTTCAACATTGACACTTTTTCTGATATTATGAAGTAGCTTAAGCTAAATGCACCAAAAAATGGACAAGTTTTTGACCCACCTGCTTTGATCAATTGGAACATTTTTTTTTTTTTGGGTTAAAAACACTGATAAAATACACCCAAGGAGAAGATGTGCGATTGAATTAAACCTGCAGCTTGGCAGAAAATTTAAAGCTCTAATAATTCACCAGGTTCATATTGTCAGCATTGCACCTTTCTTCTAAAGATTTAATGGCCAATATTCTAATCCACTACTCCTTTTCAAAATCTTTTGCATTCTGGAGAAAGTTTAGATGTCCAAATCGACCAGAAAGCTATGCCCAATATTTTAAGGTACCACTTGCCACTAAAAGCACCAAAAACCATTATTCATTTCTGAAAAAATAAACCCAGCCTTCAAAAATTTCCACCTTTTCCAGCAAAGGCACCGTCGGTGGGTCATGTGGCCGCAGGCCTCAATCGCTGGCAACTAACTACTACTATACGTTAAATAACAAAGCACAATATTCACTTAAATTTTAGTATGAAAATGAAAGAATAAAATTGAGCACTCGATTTTAAGCAAGGAGATTTGGTATTAGTATGGACTACAATATACTGCAAACTAATAAATTAGAAACCCTTATTCCTTTAACCAAAGTAATTGCCAAGTTCAATTTAAGACAATACTGACATTTTTGCAACACTTACAATGTCAAAGGTACTGCATTTCCAAAACCATATGTTTGACGTTTAAAAAGGTTAACCATATCATATATTGCAAACAGTAAATAATTAGCATCTAACTTAGGATTCCTTCTGCTCTTCCTTTTTGCTATATTCTTTCTTGCAAATAACTTTGGCCCTTTTCTATCAAGTGGGCATCTTTGCATTGTGCACCAGCCGAAGATGCCCATCTCTGGCTAGGCAAAGTTAGCAATATGATAAAGAATCCTCAACACCCTGCTAGTGAATAATAATAATGATCCTACACT